ACATGCCACCAGAGATGGGCGTCCACAGCTTCCTGCGATAACATGTGTTTAATCAAGGAGACAACCCGTGAAGGGAAGACCTGAAATCTGCAAGCATGGGAATCAGAATGAAATCGGTCAACCAGAAAAATAAATAACGGATCTACGAGACAATGAATGGATCCAGGTTGGAGTCCCGATTCGGATAAGCCGATCGAAAAAGAGGGGTAGAGGTAACTAGCAATTGTGATTAGGCCACACTAGATTTGCCACAAAAGGACACACATTTTGACAATTGAAATGTAAACAAGTGAGAAGTTGAGATATAGCGGCAGTGGGGAAAGATGGTAAAGAGTAGATAGATAGACAATGAGAGAAGGAGGAGTGATAGTGTAACTGTTTACGAAAGAACGGTTGTCCAGACATTGACTATACTTGTCTCTTTGACGAGTTCGTAGCTCGTTTCGGAGAATGGTCACACTCACTGACGATGTTGACGAAACCTTTGAGAATGTATCAGGTCCACTGTCAGATGCTGGGAATCATGACAACTAATATGGCAGACGACTTCGGACTAGGTGCGTTCTACATAGTCTCCCTGACAACAAGACCAAGTTGCAACAACGCGATAAACCCACTTCTATTACAATTTACTGTCTGAACGTATAATACCATACATGAATGACTCTATGTATTACATGAGATATATTGACAATATTTCATTAAGTTGATGAAGAACTGGTGGTTGAATGATTGTCTGTAAGATTGCCTTATTGGTTGGTTACGCAATTTCTGCATGAATTTCCAGTCGTGAAATGGTCCTGGCAAATGAAAGATCTCGAAGAAAGTACCTCCTACCATCTCCTCTTCTGTCGAGCTATCCCTTCATCCAACAAGATGCTCTAACAGTTCGCCAATACGAGAACTGCATTTGGCGAAGCTGAAGCATAACTTTTAAAAGTTAGCAAGACAGCTTTGACGAGTAACGAAAGAGGATTCAATAAGAGTTTAAAATCGCATCAATATGTGTTTATGAAGTTCCAAAGATGGAGTTGCTATCGCAATGCATTAATGAAAATCTTAAAAACCCAAACAACACGAGGCTCGATTTATAGGCAATTTTTCCCCAAATGATGTTTAATAACAAAATTGCCTCTTTGACAAGAGGTGGTATGTCAAAAAAATTTCGTTAAATAAATCAAAGTGATGAATTCCATGAGGTAGATCAGGCCAAGTTGGGCAGACGGCATATTGGCAAAATTGCAGTGGCGTAGATGTTGGTAGGGTCCTATGCAGAGTGCAGCGTTTATGGAGTGTGCTATGAAAGTGTTGTCACGGGTGGATTGAAAGACAAAAGCGAATGGACCTCTCGCAAATATCGGCACGTCCTCCCCACCATGAGACTCATCCTTCATAGGGACTAGTGAAGGTTGCATGAAATCCAACGCTTCTGTATCCACATTGCTTAAATCTTCACGTGATTTGTTGACTTTTGCCGACGGTCCGTTGGCATAGCTCAAAATTGTGTAAGGGTTAAAATCTTTCGGCTAAACAAAAAGCAAAATAAAAAGATGTGTTTTATAAAAACAATGAAAAATTTCTGAGCAATCTACCCGTTTTATACCAATAATTACATCTCCCTAACAGATTTGGTATATGACGCTCCTCCTCGAGGGTCTGTGCTCGAAAGTAAACCAGAAATTCAACAAATTATTTATAGGAAATTTACCATCTCAGCTCCATACGATAAATACAGGGCCTAATATGAACCCATTAATATTCTTTTATCGATAATCTCAGATTTTCAGCTGTAACTAAGTTAACCTAAACATGCTATCTTTCTTACAGTAGCTCATGAGCACTAAGCATCGCTTTTACAGATTCCCTTCTACGTACCCCCCATTCGTCATTGTCGCCCATCTCGACGCCGAAGATACTCTTGTTCCTGTGCGGATAGCCGACAATCGTGAAGGTGTGCGAGTGATCTGCCGTCACGACTATCAGCGTATTTTTAGTATCCACCATCTGTTCGGCCTTCATGACCGCCTTCTCAAAGGCCAATCCATCTGTCAAGGAAAGTCTGAAAAAGAGAACGCCATTTTAGTTTCTGAATCTATCAACAAATTAAGCAAAGAAGAAAAGAAATTGGTAAACTTATTGCAGATTATCCCCTTCAATTCGCTTTTACAAACTATATATTTGTTAGATCATGGAGATAGTTTGAGCTTTGAAATAGCAATTTATATAATTTAAGTGATTAGAAGCATTTATCGTTTAAAAAATTGATAGGATATGGGATAAAATTTAATGTAAATGTCTAGGTTTTAGGCCTTTAATAGCCCTTTAGCCCATCAACTACATGAGATTATTGTATCCTAATGTTATTCTGATATAATATAAAAATATAGATATAATATATTAGAAAATAGTAAGCTAATTATTATGGGATATAGCCTCAATATATGCGTAAACAAAAAATAATGCTGTATTTAACGAACTAATTATTATTTATCCTTACAGCCTAGCTCTTATGGTATTGCACAAAGGTGAATACAAAAATAGGGTTCAATGAAACGTCTGATTCTGGGTATCGTAATAATTTCTCATCTAATATAGTTTATTTTCTTTTATAATATTTAAATTTGTTCAAGTCTAAGTTAAAAGTTGATATTTTTTTCCTTTCGAGTAAATATATGAGCTGTTTTCACTCTATTTCTTAAAGTAATGAATAAGTTGAAATGGACACCTCACTCAATTTCGCATAGCATTGCTTCGCCAAAAGGTATTATCATCCAGGATGGACTACAGCTTCGACGTTGCCTAGGTCTTACCAACACCTCCAGCGGGACCTTTTAGGAAGCAAGGCTAGGTAAAATTTAATGGGAACGTCATGCCCATTCATAGAATGGTGGGAAAATTCAACGACCAGTCCTTCTTTACCTTAAATGAAATTAGGTGAATACAACTGGTATATATATTTTTAACCTTAAAAGTGAATATGGTTGGCATGACGATAGCAATCAGTCTTGAGTAAAGTTTTGCGTGCAAATTTAATGTTTGCCATAGTGTTTGTTTCACCTGCCTAACGGACTTCGAGCTAAAGTTCTTATAAGTTACTTGATTACATATTATTGAATCAGTAGATGCCAGACATTTATATTTAATTTTATAGAGCTCGCCGTTGCCTCATTATTATGTGCTCGTCTGAATCACTTCTAGGCGCTCTTCTCAATTGGAAAATAAAATGTATTTCCTAAGATTATTTGTTATGCTCTCGTATCTGAAT